ACAGTCCTTTCAACAGTTCCAAGAAGGTTCCACACCCATTTGCAACACTCAGGTCAACCTGAGGACACAGATAAACCTCAGGTGACATTAAAGACCTGCTAATAGAATGCAAATATCCAGCTGTCTGCAAGCAGTATAAATCCTTCCATTCCCCCACCATCCTGTCAGAGCTGAAGAAGCTTCTTGGATGAGAAGCGAAACGTCTTCAAAGAAAAACCAGAAAGTCCAGTTGCCTCCTGACAAAAGCAACTTTGGGACAATCATGACCTGGATGACTGAGAATCTCCATAGATACTTTCATCCTTAGCAATACTAACTGAAGAACTCATTGATCTGGATTTTCTATCCAATCTTATGTCCTCCTTTCAAGCTTGGTCCCCTTTTGAACAGAATCTAGACAGCCCAAAATGGAGACATGCAAGCTGAAGATATCAGCACACCCACCTTTTGGGGGCTTCTTCAGATGGTCTGTATACTTCTGGCTGAAAGAAGAGATGGCAAAAATTAGTAGAATCCAAAGTGAAGATTTGCATCAAGGGCCCTCTACTAGCCAAAAGACAATGTGAGGCGATATGCTAAAATCGAAGAGTATCTTCAACGCACACAAAAGCAATAAATAAATGTTTCCATGAATAAATAGCCAAGAAGGGAGGGAGGATCATTATTATACCATGATAATCACTTATTGAATGTCTATAGAGCCCAGCTCCCTGCCAAAGGAAGCTGATTTGGTTAAAGCTAAACTTTCTTAAGATTAAAAGCCTGAAGAGTTCCACAAATTTTTCTGGGTTCATCCATTTGTTCCAAAGGAAGGGAGAGAGGGAGGGAGGGAGAAAAGGAAGGAAGGAGAGAGGGAGGGAGGGAGAAAGGAAGAAGGGAGGGAGGGAGGGAGGGAGGTGGAGGAAGGAAGGAAGGGAGAGAGGGAGGAAAGAAGGAGGAAGGGAGGGAGAAAAGGAAGGGAGAAATGAGGGAGGGAGGGAGAGGGAGAAACGAGGGAGGTAGGGTGAGGGGGGGGGAAGGAAGGAAGGAAGGAAGGAAGGAAGGAAGGAAGGAAGGAAGGAAGGAAGGAAGGAAGGAAGGAAGGAAGGTTTTCAGATTACCTGTTGTACAAAATTATCCCATGAAATGAACAAGACCACCAGAAGATCTGGGTTAGGAACATATGACTTGGACCTTAACTTTTCTGTACACCCCTATAAACCCAGGGTCTCCAAACCATGCTGGCTGGGGAATTCTGGGAATTGAAGTCCACAAGTCTTAAAGTTGCCCCATTTGGAGACCCCTGCCCTAAACTGTGTCCATAGCCAATCGGTGGGTGCCCAGAGATTTAATCATCCAGATTTCAGGTAAGAATTTTAAGCCCCTAAAATGGACTGGAATGAAAGAGACCTTACAGGATTTGACATCCAACTCCTGTTTGAAGACCACAGTGAAGGAGAATTTACCACTTCATAGGACAGCCCAATATATTAGCTGTCTGTCCGTTCACATATAGTGGAAGTTTCTATCTGGAATCAAATTTCTGCAGCCTCAACCATTTATTTTAGCAACTTTCTTGATATTTAACAACTATTATATTTCCTGTGTATATTTCCTATGTATATTTACTTCTTCTGTAAGTTAAAAATATCCAGATCATTCATTCGTTTATTCGTTCATTCATTCATTCATTCATTTGTTCATTTGTTCATTCGTCTCCCATCTCACATGACTGATTCTAATTGTTCCTCATAAGGCTTGGTCTCTAGACTTTTTGCTATTTTGGAACTTTTCACTGCATTTTCTGTGCCGCTATCATTATTTACAGGTTAATTGATCCTAATGCCTTCCCAAGATCCAATTCATATGATTTCAACTTACCTACAACCCCTCCTCCACAATACCACCAGAGTAAGTATGATTAGAAATTGCAAAATAATGCAAACAGCCAGTGGAATCCATGGTACTCCGTTTAGTTTGACTTTTGAGCATTGAGACGATAAACCATTTTTCACTGTCACTATATCTAGGGAAAGGCAGAAAAAGAGGACATCAGCGCGAAAAAGCTCAAATAGCACAACATATCATGGTTTATATATTTAAGATCCCATTGCCCTGTCATTTCAAGTGGGGTTATATCAAATTCAGCCCTGAAATCCTTGAGAGATTCAAAACTTCAGCAGATAGAATGATTTGACTCAGATTTCAGTAGCTTCCTAGCTTCCAATGTACTGGATCTCTTTGAAACATCAGAATAAGGTTCTTAGTTTCTGACGCTCAAAATTCAAATATCAGGACAAAGGCAGAGGGTGATTTGGACAGTACTTCCCCTCAGAGAATTATAAATTATATAAATATGCTTTTTAATCATATATATACCAGGGATGTCAAACTCAAGGCCTGTGGGCTGGATGCGGCTTTTGCGGTGCTTAGATCTGGCCTGCGGGGCTGGCCTGGAAATATCAAAGGACCAGCCAGCAGTGCCTCTGCCGGCCAAAATGGGGCATGGTTGTGGGGGGGTCGTACATACCCCCCCCCCATGGCTTTGTTTTGGCCTCCACGGCCTCCTGCAGCACTCTGCCAGGCATAAATGGGCTGCGGGCGGGCTGTGCATATAATCCATGTCCCATTTTGTCTGGCAAAGTGCTGCAGGAGGCCATTCAGGCAAAAAATGGAGGTGCGGGGGGCTGTCCATGCTTCCCCGGGCCCCATTTTGGCTAGCAGGGTGCTGCAGGAGGCATTCATCTCGTCTCCCCCCCTTTCCTGCCCTTGGTCCCCCCCCCCGGCCTATGGAGGAGAACTACAGTGCTGATCCGGCCCTCGAAGAAATCCAGTTTGACACCCATGATATATATGGAACAGCCCTTTCCATCCACCTCATCATGTCCTTAATCCAAAAGTGAAGACATTCATCAATGATCTCACCATATACAGTACTCAATTTTGCAATTATTACTTCAGAAAAGCCCTTTTTTCCCTGTTTCACTTTTGTATTTTTTAACAGCAGCTATGCCATGTTGAACCTATGTCTGAATCACAAGGGGTCCTCAAATTACGGCTGTAAGGGAGCCAGTCCATTACAGTCATAAGTCATAACGGTCATAAAATGCATTGGTTATCATGGGACTGATCTGATTTTATGTTCTCTTTGCAACATTAAGCGAATCACCATGGTCTTAAATGCAAATGCTCAGTTGCTAAGCAAGCATGGCAGTCATAAGCGTGAATCCCTTCTTGTGATGGACACAGTTTTTCTGAAGGGTTGGTTTTCAGCAAAACCATTGCAAAACATGATCACGTGACTACAGGATGCTTGAAATGGCCATAATTGCAGCCATGTTGCCAAGCAACCAAGTGTGGTCACATGACCATTAGGGAGGGGGAGGCATTAGAACTTCAGATCCAGGTCATAAGTTCTTATTTCAACAGTAGCTGAAACAGTCTCTAATAATAGAGTAGACAGATTTGAAGTGAAGGAAGGACACCCCCGCCTCCCCAGATAGAAGAAGAAACCATGAGGCAGCAAATAATCCAAACACAATACAAATAATTAAATCATAAAGGGAAGAAAAGCCCTGTCTTGCTCATTGGCAGAACTCATACCTCAGGCAAGCTCAGGTGTAAACATCTGAGATAAACATAACTACAAAAAAATGCAACCTCTGTGATCATATTAAGAGCAACTGCATTCTTTTCGCTGATAATGTAAATCTGTTCAATACCACAGACAATACTGCTACCCTTCAAAAAGATCTTGACTATGTATCAGAATGGTCAAACAAACGGCAACTTCAAATCTGAACAAATAAATGCTCTGTCTTACATACTGGCAAAAAAAAATCAGAAAATAAAATACAAGCTGAATAGTCAAGATCTTGTTGATGATCCAAGCTCTGTAAAGGACCCTGAAATACTCATCTCTAATGATCTAAGTGCTAGAGCCCACTGTAACTACATAGCCAAAAAGGCATTAAGAGTTGTTAACCTAATCCTACGTAGCTTTTTCTCTGGTAATATCACACAACTAACTAGAGCATGCAAAACATTTTCTAGACCAATACTCAAATACAGCTCATCAGTCTGGAACCCACCTTACATATCTGATATTAGCACAGTTGAGAAAGTCCAGAAATATTTCACAAGAAGACTTCTCCACTCCTCTACTCATTGTAGAATACCTTATGCCACCAGACTTGAAATTCTAGACCTAGAAAACCTTGAATTACGCCGTCTTCAGTCTGATCTAAGTATGGTATATAAACTCATACATTGCAATGACTTACCTGTCAATGAATACTTCAGCTTCAACCATAACAACACAAGAGCACACAATAGATACAAACTCAAGGTTAACCTCACCGAACTTGATTGCAGGAAATATGACTTCAGCAACAGAGTGGTCAATGTTTGGAATATTCTACCTGACTCTATGGTTTCTTCCCCAAACTCCAAAAACTTTAACCTTAGACTGTCTATTATTGACCTCACCCCTTTCCTAAGAGGTCTGTAGGGGGCGTGCATAAGCGCACCAATCGTGCCTACCGTCTCTGTCCTATTGTTTCTTTTATTTTTCTTATATGTACCCATTTCAGGTATTCATAACTATGTATATACTTATACCTATTATCTTGTAAGCGATTGACAAACCAAATAAATCAAATCAAATGTAGCAAAAGAGCAAAGGTAGTATCTGTTGCTTGTTAGATCAATTACCAGAACAAACAGACACAGGAATTAGATTTCTCAACCTTGCTTCCTTTCAGGAACAGAGATTAACCTTCCTCCTTCCAGACAAAGTTGAACAGGGAAAATTATCCCATCAATAAACACAGGATTAAACGTCACCAAAAACCAGTTTTAGACAAAAACTCAAAGGGTATATAACAATCACCTTCGAATATCAGTCTTTCTAGCTAGCCAAAAAAACTTTGCTGAATGTCACTCATCTTGGTTTCTTGCCATTAAAAGACCTCTTTCCGGCAGTTCTGTTTCATTATTCCATTTATTCGTCAGTGTTGTTTCTCAGCTGGAAGAATCCTCATCAGGGGGCATTTTCCTCCCAACAGAAGGAAAGGGCCTAATTCCACATCATACTCTGCAATTTTCTCACTTTGTTCACACATACACATACACACAAACACACACACACACACACACACACCACTCCTTGTCTCAACACAAGCAGAGTAGAATTGGATTTTTTGTCCCAAGTGGCAACATGCAAAATTTAACATTGTTATCTATGGTATCCTTAATAGAATGACCATTTTGGCCTTTGAGAAAAAGTCAGGAACAAGTGGTTAAATATAAGGAGCGAATATAAAAACCTACATTGCAGTTTATAAATCTCTGGAAGGAAGAGGAATTTAACTACCAGATAATAAAAAAATAAAATATCTCTGGTTGGAGGCAATCAATAAATTGGGTCAACATATAGTAGAAAATACATTTTTTTATTTGTAGGAATATGTGTGATGAGAAGTGTTTGAGCCATATTGAAATACATACTACTTTGGCAGAAATGTTCTAATATTTTACTATAATAGTTTGCACTTTATATGTTTAATAGTTTATATGGAGTTATTAGTAAACCTGAAACCATTAATAAGTTTAATATACTGTATAAGGTACCTTTTTTTCTTTGAGTTTTTTATCCTTTGCTTTGCTTTTGGTTTCTTTTTTTATTTCTTTAAATATTGTTTCATTTAACTTCAGGATTTTTAAACCGTATTTAGCCGATCTGTCAATACATTGCTTTGTATTTTGAATAATAATGATCAGTATAAAACCATATAACATAAATAATAAACTACAAAATAAATGAAGGAACAAAGCACAATTGATTTATGATCTGTGGAAGGAACTATGTTCTGCAAACCATTTGTATTTTCCCCCAAAGACTGCTTTTGTTCCTACAAAACATGGGGATTCCTTTTCCTTCTCACCTAGGTGGCGCTGTTTGACCAGAAAAGAAATAATATTAATACCCAGACTTTAGCAATAGAAAGAATGAGCTATAAAAAACCAACCTGAAATGTTCCAAAATACAGGTTGTCCTTGACTTACAATCACAGCTGAGTCCAAAATTTCCGTTGCTGAGCAAGACAGTTGTTAAGTGAGTTGTGCTCCTTTATACAACCTTTTTGCCATTGTTCTTAAATGAACCACTGAAGTTGTTAAGTGAATCATGTGATTATTAAGTGACTCTGGCTTCCCCCATTTGACTTTGTTTATCAGAAGCTCCCTAACCAAGGTTGCAAATGAGACTTCAAGATGCTGCAACCATCATAAATACATGCCAGTTGCCAAGCACCCAAAATTTGATCACCTGACTGCAGGGATGCTGCAACGAACAAAAGGGTGAAAATTGGTCACAAGTCACTTTTTTCAGTACCGTTGTAACTTTGAACAGTCATCGATCAAACAGATATCAGTTGAGGACTACCTGCATTCAGGAGGAGAAACCTACCCTGAAAAGAAGGCATCAAAGTACTACAAGTACAGAGATCGTGATGATTATCTGTCAACTTGAACGTGATGTCAGTCTTCCGAGCAAAGCTGCATTTGACTTGCTTCTTCATGCTTTTTTCCAGAGCTGCTTTTTTCATGCAAATGTGGAGTTGAGAGGCCCTTTCCCCCTTAAATATGCTGGGTCTTCCCATCTGATCAGCATCCAGGATTTGTTTTCTACCTTCCCACCAGGTTATCACATCCCTGTAGTATTTCTTGGATGGGAATAAACAGCTCAAGATGAAGCACACGCTATCAGCCTGGTAGGACTCCATCCTTTGCTGATTGCCTGGAAGAGAAATGTTCAACAAGAAATCAGAGCAAATGATTGCAGCTGGACAGTACTGGATTGTTTTGTTTGTTTGTTTGTATTTTAACCCACCTTTATTATTTTTATAGATAAGGCAGCGCGCATACATAACATTCTTTCCTCTTCCTATTGTGGTCGTAAATCGAGGACTACCTGAAGTGTTTTCTGCCCAGAAGAGGCTGCGCTAATCTAAATTAGTGAGACTTTGTTTTGCTTCTGGTGCCAGGATAATTTGGCTGGCCTCAAGTTTCTATCCACCTGGTGATATCCGGAGAAAAGCCTCCATTTTCTGCTTAGTCTGCAGATGTTTTAACCATATCCCTGGTTGCTAACAACAACAAAAAATTACTTAATCTGGAGTTCCTGTTTATGAACAAGAAGAACCCCAAGGTCCCTTTCAACTCTATTATTCCGTTATACATGGGACCTAACCAGTTACAGAAGAGCCTCAGGCATATAAGGGGTTATCGGGATGTTGGAGGTTAAAACCCACCCCTCCCCTGGAGAAAATGAAATGTTCTAGGATATACTAAAAAGGCAGAATATTTCCCCTAAAAGAGAGGTAGAAACTCAGAGAGGTAGAAACTCAGCCCCACTCCACCTTTGTTAATGGGCCATTAAGGCCTCAGCCACTATTCTACATAACGAAGATCTACCTCCTTCAGGCAGAGCCATTTCATTGCCTTTCATTGTACCACCCACAAAGTTTCAACCAAATTTAGCACACACACAGACAACTTATAAAGCTAGCTATGACCTCTGACTGCAACCAATCAGGATACTCTTCCTCTGCCCCAGGAAGTTCAAAGCCAGAGGGGGTATAAAACCCAAGCACTCTCAGCATCTCCTGCCCTTTTCTTCGACCAAGATCTCCAAGGTGATCCTGTTCATCAATAAACCACCTTTCCAAACAGCCTCCATGTTTCCAGTGTCTTTCTCCCCACTTGGAACTGAACCCAGAAGGATATTTTCTTCCAACAAGGATTTTACTATCTTTCAAATGCTACCCCACTTACTTGTCACCACCACAAGATCATAAAAATGGTTCATGTCACACCAGTAACGGCCTGTGTCATTATCCCTCACATGGTGAAATTGAAGCGAGTTATTCTGAAGCATCTCCAGCCAGCTCCAGGCAATTGGAAAACGCTTTATATGGTCGTTGGAGAATTTGCGGAAGAGTAAAACTGTTTTGCCTTGCTGGGCATAATACCAGGACATTTCCTGAGTACCAGAACAAGATTGACATGGGCAGGGCAACTCTAGGGAAGAGCCTCTCTTGGCGTATACATCTATGAGAAGAAAAGACATAATTAGGTTCTCCAAACTTAAATAGAGATAAACTAGCAAAAAGATCAGTAGGCAAGCTATGGCCCATTGACAGGATCACAAAAAAGATGTTGAGATTCTAGAAAGAGTGCAGAGAAGAGCAACCAAGATGATTAGGGGACTGCAGGCTAAAACGTACAATGAACGGTTGCAGGAACTGGGCATGGCTAGTCTAGTGAAGAGAAGGACCAGGGGAGACATGAGAGCAGGGTTCTAATATTTGAGGGGCTGCCATAGAAAGGAGTGGGGTCAAGCTATTTTCTAAAGCACCCGACAAGGAATAATGGATGGAAACTGAACAAGGAGAGATTCAACCTGGAAATAAGGAGGGATTTTGTGACAGTGAGAATGAGCAATCAATCAATGGAACAGCTTTGCCTTCAGAAGTTGTGGAAGCTTCATCGCTGGAAGCTTTCAAGAAGAAACTGGACATTTCAGAAATGATGTTGGATATGCTTGGGCAGGAGGTTGGACTAGAACTAGATGACCTACAAGGTCCCTTCCAACTCTGTTAATCTGTAAATTTTCTAGTTCAACCCCTTGCTCAAGTGGGAAACTCTATACCAGGGCTTCAAACTTCCGGCCCATGGGCCGGATGCTTCACATGCTGGCTATGCCCATGTCCAGTTTAGCAAAGGGGGAGAAGGTCCCAATACATCATGTCACTTAGCCATGACAATGTGAATTTGACATCCTTGCTCTAGACCATTTCAGACAAATGGTTGTCTAATCTCTTCTTAAAAACTTCCAGTGTTGGAGCATGTACGTACAACAAATTGTTCTACTGATTAAATGTTCTAACTGTCAGAAAATGTCTCCTTAGTTCCAGGTTGCTCCTCTCTTTAATTAGTTTTCATCCATTGCTTCTTATCCTGCCTTCAGATGCTTTGGAGAATAAATTGATCCCCTCTTCTTTATGGCTATCTTTAGATAATGGAAAATTACCATCATGTCACCCACAGTCCTTCTTTTCATTAGACTAGACATTCCCAGTTCCTGCAACACTTCTTCATGTTTTAGCCTGTAGCCCCCTAGTCATCTTTGTTGCTCTTTTCTGTATTTTTTTTCAAGAGTCTCAATATCTTTTTATATCATGGCAACCAAAACTGAACACAATATTCCAAGTATTCCAAGTGTGATCTTACCGACACATTATAAATTGGTACTAACACTTCGTGTGATTTTGATTCTATCCCTTTGTTAATGCAACCTAAAACTGTATTGACTTTTTTGGTGGCTACAGCACACTGCTGACTCACATTTAAGTCTACTAGGACTCCAAGATCCTTCTTACAGTTACTGGATCATAATTAGTCTAGCAAACAGTCCTCACCTTGTATTGCCTACAATGGCTAATAGCTAATGGCTCTCCAAGAAAATCTTTCCAGGCCTTCCTGGAAAAATTAATTGACCTAAAATCCTGTGGGTATTTTACTGTTTTCCTGTCCTTTCTGGCTCAGTTACCTCTCCAACTTGGTCCTTTCTAGATGTACTTGAGAACAGTTCTCAACATCCTGCAGATGAAAAGAACCATAGCTTTTCTTTCCTATGGATCTTGATGATTACCTAAAGTAGATCAGGCTTCTCTACCCATTGCAGGAAGGCACTAGTTCCACATCCCTGGTAAATGACCATCCAACTTCTCTTTAAATGCCTCCCCCCAGACTACCAGAAATCCATCAGCTCCTGAGAAAATCCATTCCAGTTCTTAGATGATACTCTCAACATCTGTATCAGGGTACTAAAATGGGGGTGGTGAGTCAAACCAATCTTTGAGAACATGCCTCAGTCTTCTGTCCCACACCTCCTCTCAAGATTGCTTTCTGGGTGCCCCCAATTCTAACTAACATTTACAAAAGTTTAATATTTGTTTTGCCTGAAAACAGCATCAGCCTCATGTCAATTACTCTGTCATTAAAATATTGCCCCCTTCCTTTTCCACTTAAATTATTTTCTGCAGCAACCTTTTCCTAAATTCCTCTAGCAGTATCCCCTCTTCTCTGTGAAAGCCCCTCAGATATCCAAGGGACTGGAGGCTAAAACGTATAAAGAACAGTTGCTGGAACTGGGTATGTCTAGTTTGAAAAGAAGAACTAGAAGTGACATGATAGCAGTTTTCTGATATATCAGGGGCTGCCACAAAGAAGAGGGAGTCAAGCTATTCTCCAAAGCACCTGAGGGCAGGACAAGAAGCAATGGGGGGAAACTAACCAAGGAGAGAAGCAACTTAGAACTAAGGAGACATTTCCTGACAGTTAGAGCAATTAATCAGTGGAACAACTTGCCTCCAGAACTTGTAAATGCACCAACACTAGAAGTTTTTAAAAAGATGTTGGATAACCGTTTGTCTGAAATGGTATAGCGTTTCCTGCCTAGGCTGGGGGTTGGACTAGAAGACCTCCAAGGTCCCTTCCAACTCTTCTATTCTATTCTATTCTATTCTATTCTATTCTATTCTATTCTATTCTATTCTA